GGAAACCCTGTGAATATGATGTGCAGTCCGGACACAGATACTTGCATCCACTCCTATTAAGTCCCTGCTGGGGACATCATTGTCAAGGGCAATGAATGACTTCCCTTTCCTAACAGAAAATGGCCCTGAACCTGTTGCCAGCAGGTTTGCTGCATGCATGAAAGACTCTGCAGACATTCCGTGATGTCATGGCAGCACAGCCAAACACTGCGAGGGGTTTTCAGTGCCACAGTTGTGATCAAATATAGACACAGCATTGCTAAGTGACTATTAAAACCCATGAGAATAAGTTATAGATGCCCGAGCGCATCTTGAGGTGAATTTGTTTTTGCCTCAGCATCATTTTGTCCATTTTTCTCAGGATTGTGGTGCATTCCCACCACAATACTGTCAGCCCACAGTATTTATCAGGGAGATTTTCAATTATATACTATAAGTTAATTTTCTTTAAATATTGAACCCATTAGTAATTTAATAAATACATTGCAAGTTTTCAAATGTACCTTTTTCCAGTTATATTTTAATAAATTTTCAAAAATTTCACATATACACCCCAATACATACCGTAATAAGTTTTTATTCTGTTTTTGCCGACTTCCCATTTCCCATTGAGGTTTTTTTTCCTCCCTCTTTGCTACACCTTATCTTCTATCTCTTATACCATAACAACAATGCAATAATTTCTAATGCATTTTTCAGGCGTAAGTGTTTGAAGAAAATAACATAACAGTAAAGTGCTGAAAAATCCACATAAACTAAGAGGGAGAATTATTTGGAATAATTCAAACAACTCTCTCTCTCTCTCTCTCTCTATATATATGGAGGTATTATGTCAACACCTTTTCTTCTCTCCTGAAATAAAATCACACTTTATCTTGCAACTTAGTAAAAAGTAGGCCGGTACTATTGCCACCATATTGCAGATGGAGGCTGATTCAGAGAACAAAAGGTTTGCCAAGGGGGTTATCAACTCAGCTCATTGCAAAGGTAGGATTTCCTAACTCATAGCACACTTCTAAATGTTCTGTCACCTGGGGGCAAGTCCCAATGAATTCAACCAGGCTTACTTCGAAGTAGACATGTATAGGAGTTTGCTCTTAGCGTCTTAAAGCCTCTCCTCCTTACAGAGGGGGGGAGTTGTGAGTAGGAGCCATTTCCCGTGTTGGCAGGGGGCGTTCCAGCCCCCTGCCCAGCTGGCCTGGCTGCCGCGCCACACCCCCAGGTTGCCAACCAACCAGGTGGAGGCTTGGGGGCGGAGTTTTGCCGCTCAAACGTGGCCGTGGCAGCACTTCCCTTTCATTCCGCTGCTGGGTGGCGGTTAGGCATTGGAATACGGTATGTTTGTGTATTGGAGGGCAGGGTGTGGCCATCGCCTACCCCTCCACTTTATGGGTATTCCGGTGAAGGAATCCGGCGGTCGTGGATCCTGTCCGACGCCCTTGCTGGTGGCTAGGGCCATGCCACGACCCCCGGTGACATCAGGGGGAGCTTTCAGTTGTATTTGCATCAACAGGCTCCTCCCACTGGTGGTTAACCCTTGTTAGACTCGCCCCTCCCTGAGGGGGTGGAGTCACGCTCTGTTGTTTTATCCAATGCCTAAGCCAATACCTCTTACATGCTGGAATCAATAAAGTTGTGGCCTTTTTTAGCCCATAAACCTAATATACTGTGTCCATGTGTCTTTCTTATCCCCAAGCGGGTGGCGGGTCCTTGAATCACAAATACAAATGGCACCAGAACAGCCGTGGCTTTCAGTCGCGAGGAGTGACTCCCAAGCCTTCTATTTCTCTCTTCCTTTCTGCGTTTCGAATGTTCAACATGAGACAGGATAAGAAGCAGCCACATTTCTAAGGATTTTCTTTTTGTTTGCTTTTTAGGCTACCCCAACCCCAAGCAAGCACGAATTCAAAGGCCTCGTTGGGTGGAAATGGAAAGCAGCTTCCTTGCATTAATTAGCCAGGCTTTGCTACGATTGCACTAAATACTTTGTTAATAATTTATCTGACGGGGAAAAAATTAGGCACTATTCTCCCTGACTTTGATTTTCAGAAATGTGCTTGATATGTGGAATTATTTGATGTATCTGAACACATTTCTGCCTGTGGCTTGCTCATGCATTATTCACTGCAACAACTAAAGTATTTGCTTTATAATTTGCCCTTTTTTGCTCTCCACTCATTCCTCACCTAAGTCACGTAACATCATTTCCACGCGGCGTGAATCCTGACCCAATGCAGAACAAATGCACAGTGGGAAGGGGGCTGGCTTTAAGGTAAAGACTGGCCACTGGGTGTTGGGGCCAGAGGATCTATACTAAAGGAGACACGGGACTGTTCTCTCCAGAAGGCTGTCAGTGTAGGATTTCTTTCACAGAGAGTTCAGCTGGTTGGCCTCTGTCTGTCTCGGGAGACAGTGGAATAGTGCTCCTTCGGATGTTAACTCAAACCGTTGGAGAGTTACAGAACCTTCTGTGGCTGTAGAGACCACAATATGGGTTGTTGTTGTTTAGTCGTTTAGTCGTGTCCAACTCTTCATGACCCCATGGACCAGAGCACACCAGGCACTCCTGTCTTCCACTGCCTCCCGCAGTTTGGTCAAACTCATGCTGGTAGCTTCGAGAACACTGTCCAACCATCTGGTCCTCTGTCGTCCCCTTCTCCTTGTGCCCTCCATCTTTCCCAACATCAGGGTCTTTTCCAGGGAGTCTTCTCTTCTCATGAGGTGGCCAAAGTATTGGAGCCTCAGCTTCACGATCTGTCCTTCCAGTGAGCACTCAGGGCTGATTTCCTTCAGAATGGAGAGGTTTGATCTTCTTGCAGTCCATGGGACTCTCCAGCACCATAATTCAAAAGCATCAATTCTTCGGCAATGAGCCTTCTTTATGGTCCAGCTTTCACTTCTATACATCACTAATATGGGAGAGACTGTCTATTGAGAGGTTTCTGGTCATGGTGGAGCCCAGTTCAACAAAATCATTGACCACCTCACAGACCAGTGAGACATGACGATCTCTCCTGACGACAAAGGCAACCTGTGGTGTTTCTACCTTAACGCCAATCAGGTTGAGCTTATAACTTGCAACTGCTCCCTCCAGCGTTGTTTTTTGCTGTGTTAGCAGTACCAAAATGATCTCTCCAGGGTACAGGCCTGGGCAGTGCGTATTGAGGTCCTCAGCTGCCCAGATGACATGATGCCCCTCTCAGCTTTGCTGATGTGGTCCAAAGGAAAGCAGAGCAATGCACTTTGCACCAGATTAGCTGAAGGCGTTGTGGGAAGGAAGCATAAAGATAACATCTGACTACCTTAGGGACTCCATTCCAGATTTGTGTAGGGTTTACTCCTTAGTCTTTTCTTCTTCCAAAGATGTCCTACAAGGCAGCAGATCACCAGATTTAGGGTTCCCAAGAAACGCTCAACCCGATGATGGGAGAAAATGTACCAGGCTGTTGTAAGCCTCTAACCATGCTTTAAAGTACCTGGTCTTCCCTTCGTGAGCCATTTAAATTGTTAATGCATGGTTGCTTGACTTTTGCTGCAACCAGTCAGGTTCTACTGATGGAACCCAGCTGAGGAATAATGGGTATCGTTATTTTGGAGAACGTGGGGCAACTTTGTTATGGCTTAGGCCAGGGCTAGGTATGGAGGACCAGGGTTGCCCTCCAGTTATGTTGAACGCCATCTTCCATCAGCATCCAGCCCATCATCACAAATGGTCAGGGATTATGGGAGTTGCAGTCCAACATTACCTGGAGGGCCACCATTTCCCCATCCCTGACTTAAGCCAACTTAACTTTGGTTTTTATGCTGATTTGTGGCCTATACCAATGCTAAGATTACAGGCCTTGAGGTTGAGGAAGATTTCCTAGTCCTTGTGTATCTGCTGTGATGGAAGGAATGAAGATTGTGTTGGTCTGGAGGGCCGCTACAGTTTGATTTCAGAAGTACTGATCTGTTGGGGATGACCAGAATGGAGTCATCACTTGGGAGGTGATGGGGCTGGGAGGTCAATAGCAAAACAAAAACAAAAACCAAACATGCTCATGGATCTCTGTGCCAGGTGAAAGGCTGCAAGATTCCAAACACAGCCTATTACATTCATCTCCCAATTAATTTTCAAACCATTTTTCTGCCTCTGGCAGCAAAGTACTGCAGCACGAAAGCATTGAACTGCATTAGAACATCTGAAGTCCTTTGGCTTTCCATATCCCAGTACTAGAGCCCCATTTTATTGGCTAGACTTGAAAAATAAAGAGTAGCTGGCAACCCAGATTCCCTAAAAGGTAAAAGTAAAGGGACCCCTGACCATTAGGTCCAGTCGTGACCGACTCTAGGGTTGCAGCGCTCATCTCGCTTTATTGGCTGAGGGAGCCGGTGTTTGTCCGCAGACAGCTTCCAGGTCATGTGGCCAGCATGACCAAGCTGCTTCTGGTGAACCAGAGCAGCGCACAGAAACGCCATTTACCTTCCCGCCAGAGCGGTATCTATTTATCTACTTGCACTTTGATGTGCTTTCGAACTGCTAGGTTGGCAGGAGCAGAGACCGAGCAACGGGAGCTCACCCCGTCACGGGGATTCGAACTGCCAACCTTCTGATCGGCAAGTCCTACGCTCTGTGGTTTAGCCCACAGCGCCACCCGTGCCCCTCCAGATTGCTTACTGCAACTCATAAATTAAAATATGGAACCCAATAAAAGCCAAATATGCATATATTTTTTACAAAGCATGGAAGTATAATTTGCTTATGAGGGACGTATCTCAAAGGCACAAGTCCTTTCACTTTTAAAAAGTGCCTGTTGTGCCTGGGTTGAAAACATTGCTATATCCGTTACAAGGTTTAAAAGTAACCACAACAAAGAATGTTACTTGCCCAAAAATGGAAAGAAGAAGCCCCAGCAAAAGAAGAATGGATACAAAAACTTACAGAATATGCAGAAATGGTGAAACTTACCAGAAGAATAAGAAATCAAGACAACAAATTTCTTATAACAAAATAGAAATGGGTTACTGAATATTTACAGATAAATTGTAAACAGACATTTAAAGCAGTGTGTGTGATTCTTTAAATTCCTCACCGTTTCGGATGATTCCTCAGGATCCAAGATCCTCACGTGCAGTTTCAAGGCCAACCTTCTACGCGTGTGCCCCGGCCATTTATTCACTGATAATTAGATAAAACAAACTGGGGGATTTTTAAGGGATAAAAAATTTGCACGTAGTAACGGTAATATATTACTGGAGGGTTGCACTTTGTTACATCCATTTGTTAGTCAAGACGGCAGAGCTGCAATTTAATAGGCAAGAAATAAGTACAGTAGAAGAACAGGGGGAAATTAAATTCCGCATGATCAGCAAGGTTTCGAACAATCGCTAGCCAGCTGAAGTGGGTGCCATATCTATAAGTCATTTTGTTTTATAGGCCATTAGGATCTCCTGAGAGAGGCTGCATGGAGACCGCTGCTTTTTGTTGAAATTAAAATGTCAGAGAAAAAGAAATAGAACAAAACAGGGAATCTGCAATTAATTACAAGGCCATAAAAATTCAATAATCAGGAGGCAGTGGTGCTATAGGCACAGCGGTATCTGATTCAGGCTAACAGGAATGGAATACATTAATCTTTTCAAATTAGTTTTTTAATCTGACAGGGATATATAGTGACGTGTTCTTTTACTGTTCAAGCAGGGCTCCTGTCTAATATATAACGCTGAGTGTCTTGAATTAGGACATCTATAGCCATTTGGTGACTACAACATTTTCTCGGCATTTATTCAACCCTATCTGTACACCTGTCCTACAGCAATCAGGCGCAACATGTTCAAAGTTCATGTCCCTGATACTGCCACCGGAAGGAGGAGAAAAGAAAAGGATTTAAATGCCAAGCACAAAGGCAAAAATATCAGCTCCCCAAACAAGCTAGCACAAATGCTTCGAAGAGACAGCCTGTTCTTTCGCAGACTTCAGTCGCAGGCGAGGGAAGAGGTTGTCTCATTTTACACGGGTGCAGTGGAATCGCCCAGTTCACTAAACCCACCCTTGTAACATCCCAGTTGTTAACATTTGCACCAATGTATCTGTCCGCACCAACTGAATGCTTGGACTATGCCAGCAGAAATCCACATTTTGCAGCGCCCTTGCCAGTTAGCTAGCATTCCACCGAGATGGTTGGCAAATAAAAATAAGCAGTACGTGGAGCTATCCATCACTGGTGCTCTGAAACCAGGAACTCCAGAGTGCATTAATCTCTGCATTGTGGGAGTTTGCCAAAAACAAAAGAGAGCGAGAGAGCGAGAGCGAGAGCGAGAGAGAGAGAGAGAGAGTGTTGTTGGCTAGATCTCTTGCTTCACTTACCCCATTAGGTGGCCAGACAGTGTCAAAGTGGTTTGCTTTGATCTCCAAAGTTGCTGTGTCTTTAAAAAAAGAAAGAAATGCTTTTCAGGTTTATACCTTTCACTAATTTGACAATTATTTTAACATTTCACATTGTTGACTTCCTTCCCCCTCTTTCTGCAGTTCCTTAAATTTATTTTTAATATCTTCTGCATATCATGACTTAATTTGCTCATTTATTCATCTACTTTAAATGCATATTTATAAAACTGCAGGTTATTACAATAATCTTGCCAATGTTCTTGTGTGTTTACAATTTATCTGTAAATATTCAAGAAACCATTTCCATTCTTTATCAAAAGTTTGTTATCTTGATTTCTTATTCTTCCGGTAAGTTTTGCCATTTCTGCATATTCCATAAGTTTTTGTATCCATTCTTCCTTTGCTGGGACTTCTGCTTCTTTCCATTTTGGGGCAAGTAATATTCTTGCCACTGTAGTCGCATACAAGAATAAGTTTCTGTACAGTTTCAGTAGTTCTGTCCCTACAATTCCCAAACGAAAAGCTTCTGGGTTTTTCACAAAAGTTGTTTCAAACATCCTTTTCAATTCATTATACATCATTTCCCAGTAAACTTTAACCTTACTACAAGACCACCACATATGATAAAAAGAACCTTCTTTTTCTTTACATTTCCAACACTTATTTGATTTAGATTTATACGTTTTTGCCAATTTACTCAGTGTTAGATACCATCGATATATCATTTTCATATTTCTTAGACCATAACAAGCTGTAAATCTGATATCCATATTCCACAATCGTTCCCATGCTTCCATGTCTATATTATGACCAATATCTATTGCTCAATGTATCACTGAGGATTTTACTTGCTCATCAAAGTTGCTGTGTCTACTTTTTCCAGCATAACTTCTCTTGAGCCAGTGTGGTGTAGTGGTTAAGAGCGGTGGACTTGTAATCTGGTGAACTGGGTTCGATTCCCCGCTCCTCCACATGCAGCTGCTGGGTGACCTTGGACTAGTCACACTTCTTGGAAGTCTCTCAGCCCCACTCACATCACAGAGTGCTTGTTGTGGGGGAGGAAGGGAAAGGAGAATGTTAGCCACTTTGAGACTCCTTAGGGTGGTGATAAAGCAGGATATCAAATCCAAACTCTTCTTCTTCATCATCCTGCTTGCCTCAAGACAACCAGTCCTGAGATGCTAGTATCTACTCTATTGTTTGCTATCAGATGTCAGTGGTTAGAATGATCACTGTGAGTTTGATTTACGGCAGGGATGTGACCGGGCTGGCGGGTGGGACAGGGACGGACGACCTGTGGTCTTTCAGATGCTGTTGGACTACAATACCCATCGTTCATGACTATTTACATGCCGGTTGCAGATGATGAGAGTTAGAGTACAACGCAACTGGAGTACCAGTCAGTTGGGAAACAGAGAAAGGAAGAGATAACGTTGAGCCCTGGAATGTACTTTTGTGGGGCTGCATCTCTGGCAGATCATTTGTGATGCAACGGATTGGCTGTTGTATTGTTTAAGCTGTCTGCCTTCCTCCTATGCTCAACCTGTATGCTTCCTAATAAACTCAAATTTTGCACAATGTCTTAAAGGCTTCAGTGCCTTCCAGAGGAGACCAGACCAGACAAAACACCATCCTAGGAACTTCTCATATGTGTGTGTGTGCATGTGTGTGTGTGTTTGTGTGTGTACACTTTTATTAAATTTTCTGTTTTACAATATAGGTAAAGGTACCCCTGCCTGTACAGGCCAGTCGTGTCCGACTCTAGGGTTGTGCGCCCATCTCACTTAAGAGGCCGGGGGCCAGCGCTGTCCGGAGACACTTCCGGGTCATGTGGCCAGTGTGATGAAGCTGCTCTGGCAAGCCAGCACCAGCGCAGCACACGGAAACGCCGTTTACCTTCCCGCTATAAAGCGGTACCTATTTATCTACTTGCACTTTGCCGTGCTTTCGAACTGCTAGGTGGGCAGGAGCTGGGACCGAACGACGGGAGCTCACCCCGCCGCGGGGATTTGAACCGCCGACCATGCGATTGGCAAGTCCTAGGCACTGAGGTTTTACCCACAGCGCCACCTGCGTCCCCCGTTTTACAATATAGAATACTCATTTAAACATCCTTAAAATATCCATGACTTCCCTTCTTCTCTTTCCATGATTCATTTTGCATATCATAAATCCCTGCATATTTTACATAAACTAAACCTTTCCATATTCCATCATTGCATCCATCAAAACTTATTTACACTGTTGAATTTATCTTAAAGCTGCCAACGTTTTCAAGTGTACACAATTTCCCCTCATATGTTCAATAAACATTTTCCAATCTTTTCTAAACGTATGTTCTTCTTGTTCTCTTCTTCTATATGTTAAGTCCGCAAGCTGTGCATATTCCATCAGCTTAAGTTGCCATTCTTCTTCAGTTGGGACCTTGCTCGTTTTCCATTTTGGGGCTAACTAAACCCGGGCCGCAGTAGTGGCATACATAAATAACCTTTTTTGACACCTGGGAATTTCCATCTGAATTATCCCCAACATATTTTTGGGGAAAGTACTTTTAAATTTTTAAAAAAAATTTCATTATGAATTATTTCCCAATACTCTTTTACCCTTTAACAGGTCCACCACATATGAAAGAACGTTCCCTCAACCTCCTTGCATCTCCAACACTTATCTGTTTCAGTCTTATAGATCTTAGCAAGTCTGCTCGGAGTTAAATACCATCTGTAAATCATTTTCAAGTAGTTCTCCTTCAAAGAATAACACCAAAGTTCAGTATTACAAGTTGGGTGGGGTATAAGTAATATTATTATTATTATTATTATTATTATTATTATTACTACTACTACTACTACTACTGACAAAAAATTCAGGATCTGGGGAAAGCTGGTAATACGGACAATGAAACTGTTGTTCTTTGAGAACTACCAAATGTTCTCGTTGACATCAAATGCTTACTTGCTTTGGAAAAAGTTGACTTTTTTTTCTTATGCTGATTCTGCCAAAGCATTTTGTAAGAGATGGATGAGACTGAATTCTAATGTAATTTATAAACGTGCGAGGTTCAGTTATATTTATCTGCATAGTCCATGTTTAATTTATGTAAAGTCATCATTGCAGGCTTAAAAAAAATCCTTTCATATTTTGTTATAAGAACATAGGAAGAGCCCTTCAAAAGTCTACTGAGTCCAGCATCTTCTTGCCAACAATGGCCAACTAGATGCCTCCAAGAAACCCTCAAGCAGAACATTGTTACCATTCCTCTCCCATTGTTACCATGCTAGTCACTGAACCTGAAGGTTCCATTTGGCGTTATCATTCTCTCTGCATGCATAGCTCAGAAGCAAGCGTTTATCTCTCTATAGCCAAAAGCCACAAGAGAGAGAGGTGTAAACGGGCTTAGGTAGGAGAACCTCCCCCCAAAATCCAATGAGAACTGAGCATGCTCACTTGGTATGGAGCATTGAGTCAGCTGAAGATTTTTATTTTATTTTAATTTTGTAAGGGTACTCCGAGTCTATAGAAGTTCAATGTTGGTGGAAAGGATTTGGGATGGGATAATTATGAAAAATGTTGGATTGAAGTGAAAAAAGACTTAGAAATATGGTCAAATTTGAAGTTATCATTGTTGGGCCGAATTGCTGTGATAAAAATGAATGTGCTACCAAGGATGTTGTTCTTGTTCCAAACATTACAAATTTTGGATAAGATGGATTGTTTCAAGAAGTGGCAGGAAGATATTTCCAGATTTGTTTGGCAGGGCAAGAAGCCTCAAATAAAATTTAAGATATTAACTGATGGATTTGCCCTGCCAGACCTAAAACTTTATTATGAATCAGCTGCTTTTTGTTGGCTGAGAGAATGGCTGCTACTTGAAAACACTGATGTGTTGGATCTAGAAGGTTTTAATAATGTATTTGGTTGGCATGCATATTTGTGGTATGATAAGGTAAAAGCACATAAAGCGTTTAAAAATCATATTGTCAGAAAAGCATTGTTTAATGTATGGATAAGATATAAAGATTTGTTAGAAAAGAAAACCCCAAGATGGTTGTCACCAATGGAAGCGAAGGCACAGAAAAACTCAATATGGAGGCCAAATGGCCGAAATATTGGGAAATTCTGGAACAAGAGGGAGACAGACTAAAATTGCAGAGCTTTGAAAAATTGAAAAAGAAAGTGCGAGATTGGCTCCATTATTATCAAATAATGGAGGCATATAATTTGGACAAAAAAGTTGGTTTCCAGGTGGAAAAATCAAAATTGGAAACAGAATTGTTAGATTCCAAAATCAAGAATTTGTCAAAAATGTATAACTTGCTGTTGAAATGGAACACTCAGGATGAAACGGTGAAATCAGCTATGATTAAATGGGCACAAGATGTTGGACATAATATAATGATGGCTGACTGGGAACAGTTATGGACCACAGGTATGAAATTTACGGCATGTAATGCCTTAAGAGAAAACTTAATGAAAATGATTTATAGGTGGTACATGACACCAGTCAAGCTTGCAAAAATTATCATATGCCTGACAATAAATGTTGGAAATGTAATGAGACTGAAGGCACATTCTTTCACCTTTGGTGGACGTGCCCAAGGATTAAGACATTCTGGGAGATGATTTACAATGAAATGAAAAAGGTATTTAAATATACCTTTTTGAAGAAACCAGAGGCCTTTCTCCTAGGCATGGTCGGCCAAATGGTGCCAAAGAAGGATAGAACCTTTTTTATGTACGCAACAACAGCAGCAAGAATACTCATCACAAAGTATTGGAAGACACAAGATTTGCCCACCCGGGAAGAATGGCAGATGAAGTTGATGGACTACATGGAACTGGTGGAAATGACTGGCAGAATCCGAGACCAGGGAGAGGAGTTGGTGGAAGAAGACTGGAAAAAGTTTAAAGATGATTTACAGAAATATTGTAAAATTAATGAATGTTAGAAAAATGTTGAAATGAAGTTATATGACTTTAGTAGAAATATTATAAGGAATTAAGTACAGATAGGTTAATAGAATATTAAAGGGAAAAAACAAGGCTAGAATGAGTTAAGATAATTATAGGATAGAAAACAGAGGAGGATGGAAAGGAATTGCTGAAATAATTAACAGAAGTGGAATACAAAAAGGGAGGTGTGAGGAGGTCGTGGAAATAAGTGAATGAAAGATGGGATAATGAAATTGGATGATTTATCTTATTGTCTTAGTCTTGTTTTGTTAATTTGATGTGTTGTATTGTATTGTTTTTCTTTTTCTTTTTTTTCTTTTTTCTTTTAGTGTTTTTGGAAAAATAATAATAATTTTTTTTTTAAAAAAAAGAAAGGATTTGGGATGGATCTACTATGAAACCAATGAAGCTTAAGCTTCAAGGCCCCTAACCACAGAGGGACCCCAGAGGCAATTTTAGCCCACATGGCTTTTTAAAAAATGGGTCTATTCTAACACACACAGCTTCGGAAATTCGTGAAAGCCAGGGAATCCAGAGTAAATTACAACAGGGGCTGGGAAGCGGAGAAGAGCTTTCATTAAAGCACAGTGGAGTGGCATGATGGGGGGAGCACCCAGGCAGTGGTTTTTGGAGTGGAAAGGGACCTTATAAGTCCATACGAGTGTCCCTACATTCAGCTGTGAAATGTTGGAGGGCACACGTTCAGCAGAAATTTTCTCTTCAAGCTCTTGCTAAGCCTCGATGTGAAAAGCTGGTCAGAAGCTACTCGGAGATATAACCAGTCTGGTTTTTAAAAAACAGATACCCACACACCCGAGTGTTGCAAGTGCAGAAAGGCCAGAGGTAAAGTATTTTCCCATCCTGCACAGGAATGATAATATCCCAGGCACAGGGAGCGAATGAGCTCTTGGCCTTAATCTCCTCAATGGAGCTTTCTGTGGCTTTGCTCGAAGCACTGGAGGGAGAATGAATCTGGATGAGGGGATATCGGTGACTGAAAGGCTCTGCTCAGTCGAAAGCTGAACAAACCCTTGCCTTGTCTGTTGTTCAACATTTCTGCTACGGCTGTCAGCAGCAGCCCTCTGAGCGGGGGCCGTTTTGACTTCTTTATTTTGGCTTTCAATTCCTGGATTGGGGTTGTAGTGGTTGCTTTTGCGGGGGGGGGGGGGGGCGTGTCCTCGAATGCTATCCTGCCCTACATAACTTGTGACCCATGAAGACTATTGCAACCCACTAACCACGTTTTGTGACCTGCCAGGTGACTCCTCAGAACATTACATAAGAGGGCTGGGTGATATCACGTTTTCAACATCACAATGCATTGTGTGTTGAGACCCCGCAGCCACCCCCTCGTTGGAAATAACTCACACAAGGACACAGATATTAGGTTTATGTTATTGGGCAAATTTTGGCCACAACTTTATTGAAATTACAGAATGTGAGCGGTATTGGCTTAGGCATTGATTGGACCTGACTATATCTGACTCCTGCCCATTGTGCAGGAAGTCCTGTAAGGGTAAGCCACTGGTAGAGGGAGCCCTGTCGATGCGAACCAACTCAAGCTCCCCCTGGCGTTCCCGTCGGGGTCGTGTCAAGGCCTTAGCCCCCCAGCCGGGCTTCAGACTAGATCAACACCCCTGGGTTCTTTTAACAGAATACCCTTAAGCATGGAAGGGCAGGTGATGGCCACACCTCACCTCCCCCACACAAGGTCGAACAATGCATAACCGCAACCCTAACAAAGTTGTGACGATTGCTACGAGGTAGGCGAAAACCAAGTGACCAGTGCCAATTTGCCAAGTGGAAAAGTTCCTACCAGTCCCCTCGGACAACCAATGCGACCAACTGAAGTACATAGCAAGGCCATTGCCTAACCTGCAAAATAGGGAGGGAGGGCAGGTGATTGAGGAAGCGAGCCAAAGAGGAAGTCCTCTGGCTCGCTCCTCCATTTAAACGGCCCTGGCCACTCCCCCCCGGCCAGCGGGTTGGCTGGCCGGGCTCTGACGTGGCCGGGATCCCCCAGGCAATGGGGGACAAAGTCCCCCGCCCCCGGTGGGGAGTGGGTGGCCACCCGGTCCACCGCAACTCCTCCCCACTGGGAAGTGGAGCAGATTTACTGGCTAAACATCGCAATATAGTAATACATCGCGATGGTAAAAAGGAAGGAGCCTTGGCACCGGCCCCAGGGTGAAACCGACACTGCTCCCACTGTTGCCAGTGTCCGGCACAGGGAGGGAAAAGGCAAACCACCCACTCAGCCAGAGAAGGAAGGTAAGGGACCGGCCAGCTGGCTAGCCCCACCCACGATATACTACCAGGTGAAAACACCTTTGCGATCTAGCCCTCGAACTGGTCCTGAACGATGTATCAATACATCACCCAGGCCTATTAAATACAACTATCTGTTCTTACAATCCCAATGCAACCTGGGATTATTTATTTCATCTACAATGAATCCAATTTGTCTAATTCTGGGCTTTTGTAATCCTGAAACAAGCGAGGACTGTTAAGCTGTGGGTGAACATATCAGGCGACACAGTGATTCTTCAAACAGCTCTTGTCTATTCACAGGCCCAGAACAGAACTGGGCTGAAGGGTTCAGCCAACCTGCTTATATAGAGCTCAGCTATGAAGCAACAGTAACAACTTTCTGTAACTATCCAATCACTGAACGTCGCTTTCAATTCCTTATTTGCATATGTGGACCTGAGTGAAAACTATCTACAGTATCCCCCTGCTGGCCCAGGGTGAGAACTTCAGTACATAACAAGGACAGACAGTGAACCCACCAGAGGAGACTTCGAGCTACACAAAAGCCAAATTTTTTTTATTTATCTGGGGCTCTCCCTGAGTGGAGAACAGCATCAAAACAACACATGGTGCATCATCGTTATAATAGGAAAGCAATTTTAAATCACAGAAAATCTAAATCAAGTCACAAAATTAAAAACAAAACAAAAATAAGTAACTAAAATATACATCCGGGCAGGCTTGCTGAAACAAAATAAGTTTTCAGCGGGCTTCTCTATATTGAGGGTGCCTTTCTAATATCAGGGAGTTCCACAGCACAGGTACTCCTGCCACACAATAATCTCTCCCCATAAGGAGCAAGAAAAGAACTTGAAGAATGTGCTGGAGAATAGTAAGGGCTTAAAATGTTTGCAGTCTGAGCCACTGGTGGATCTTCAACACGAGAGCTGGTTTGGGGGAAACCATAGTTGCTCGCTACAGATCCTTAGGCAGC